ACTTTACTCCCTCAAAAAATTCAAGAGTTCATTTACCTGAATTTCCCTAATTTCTATAAATTTTCATGAAATAATTAGACAAATATATAATTTCCATTGATTTTTTCATAGTGTTGAATTTTTAATGGCGTAATTTCGTAAAATTTCGTTGAAAAATAAATTTTCAACCGTGTATTCTCCATAATTTGACAATTACATTAACCCTTCCCCCAACCAGTACCCCCAACAATAAAGAACAATTTGAAATACACATACTGTTATTCAAGACCCCGAAAAAAAAAATATTCTTTTGTCATGCACATAACGAACACCCGACGGGCAAGTGCCCTGGCGTGACTATTTCTAAAGCGACAACGACTCCTCAAAAAAAAATTAACGAAATAAATAAAACAAACTGAACTGACCAAAACAAAAAAAAAACTAAGCGTTACAAAGCCGCGGGTGCTGAGAGCTATTACCCCCGAGGACTCGTGTGTATTCGTCGAGCCACACGCTATGGCCGATTTTTTCAATTTTACAATAGCATCAGATTGTTCCTACAATAGATTCTCAAATCTCATTCGAGACAATGGAATTGATATAAACCGCAGATGAAAAGAGTTGAAGAAACTAAAAGGGTACCGCTGCGACAAGATAGTAATATAGATCAGTGTAGAAATATTTCTAAAAACCCTCTCCATGCTGCATGCGCCATGGAAAACCACACAAACGAGTCTGAATTATGAGCAAAATAGGATATATTAGACGTGTGAAAAGGTCCTCCACATTTCAATACCTGTGATTTTACTTGCGGTCAGACACGAGCTGTCTAACATGTAGAAAATAAACATCGCAGACGATGAAGAAAATTTCTTTGAGTCTTCTGAAGACACGCGACAACTCAACGCTAAATAAAAACTCTACTGCAAAATTTTCCCCTGGTAAAATGCAAAGAAAAGTCAAAAAAATTGTTCACATTTTAGGAATGGAATGGAACGAAAAGGAGGTGATTTGAATAGTATAAATAATTTTAATAATCGTGCGAAAATGCGAGGTGGATCACAGGTGTGAGCCCCGCGATCTTGGATATCCCCTAGGGCCTTCAATTAAAAGCCCGCGTTGAAGACCCGAGTTTGTAGCAAAGGTGTCAGACAAGATATGAATGTTTTTTTGGGCTCAAATGAAAGAGCGGGTCGAGAAATGACGTGCTAGAGCCTCTAAACATGACAAATGTCTCTAAAGATGATATCTGTTTTCAATTGAAAAGCAGAGTTGTGACATCATTGTCTAGGAGGACAATGGGGTCTAGGAGTATGTATAGAACATTGGGGTCTAGGAGTCTCCCCTGGTTCAAAACCATCTTTAGAGGTCCTAGCACGCCATTTCTCGACCCGCTCTTTCGTTTGAGCCCAAAAAAACATTCATATCTTGTCTGACATCTTTGCTACAAACTCGGGTCTTCAACTCGGGCTTTCAATTGAAGGCCCGAGTTGTAGACCCGAGTTTGTAGCAGCGATGTCAGACAAGATATGAATGTTTTTTTGGGCTCAAATGAAAGAGCGGGTCGAGAAATGACGTGCTAGAGCCTCTAAACATGACAAATGTCTCTAAAGATGATATCTGTTTTCAATTGAAAAGCAGAGTTGTGACATCATTGTCTAGGAGGACAATGGGGTCTAGGAGTATGTATAGAACATTGGGGTCTAGGAGTCTCCCCTGGTTCAAAACCATCTTTAGAGGTCCTAGCACACCATTTCTCGACCCGCTCTTTCGTTTGAGCCCAAAAAAACATTCATATCTTGTCTGACATCTCTGCTACAAATTCTGGTCATCAACTCTGGTTTTCAGTTGAAATTGGAATTGTTAATTTACACAATAATAGGAGTGCATTGACGATTTTTTCTTAACTCGCAAAAATCTTCAAACAATTTGCTACCGATCGGTGATAAAATTTTTTGGAAATAATGAAATAGGGGAGATAACGCCTTTTTTTCAGGGGTGATTTTTCAAAAATTTATTTTAAAAAAAGTACTAACTAGCAAATTTTTTTTATTAGCTCGCAATTTTCTTCAAAACTACTTCAATGAGGAAAAAAATAAAAATTTGGAATATCTATACATGAGGGGCTAATTGATCGGATCTCATCTTCAGATCACCCTCAACTCACTTAATCTGGTTTCTGTGACATGAACAAATAATTTAAACCATCTTTCAGATTTTTCGTCCCCTTCTGACTGAGAATTCTTGGCGCAAAGTTTTCCCGCATTTCAGTATTTTTTCTCACTCCCGAGACCTCGTGATTTATAAACAAATATTTGCCTGATCCAAATAAATACTACTAGTTCCCAATGAAATCATCATTAGACGACGAAAAAAACAATTTATCACCACCTAAAAATTCATAATTTGTAACAAACAAATCGTCTATTAAATTTGAATCCGTCACAATCCGAAGCGACTCTCCTCAATTAGCGGAATAAAAAGTCCACAAACGTCAATGTGAAAGAGTTGTCAACGATGTAGAAGTACCACCTGATAAATATTTATGTAGTTGTGAGATCAAGTCTGGAAAGTAAAATAGCAATTGCATCGGGAATGACATTGTTGGCATTTTTTTGACTGTCCCAAAGTGAATTTTATAAATTTCTTCGCCTAATGATTTATATGCGATACATCTTCCCCTCCCCTCCCTGCCCCCGCCCTTCGACCCCCCTCAATGTTTCTCATCGCTCCTCAAACCGTATTTATTTTGTTTTGTTTACTCTCGAACCGGTTCACCAACGGCGTTCCCTCAAACGTGACCGTAAGCGCCTTGATGCGCGCGCGATCGGAATTATTTAGCGGTTTATTCAACTAATTTAATAGCCGATGGAGGGATTGGAAAGAGAGTTTTAACCGTGAGTTGAGTGGAAAAAGTCGCGGGAGGGGAGGGGGGAGAGAAAGAGAGAGAGAGAGAGAGAGGGCCCAAATGTTAGGGATTGAGTTTGATGCGGAATGGACATCCATCGATATCATTGACGGTGATTACGATGCTACCGATCGACTCACGGGGAATGTTTTCTTCTGACTGAAACCCCGGGTTGCGGTCCTTTATTGGATTTAGCCCCCTTAATGATTTCGTCAAGTCGAGAAGAACCTGCCAGGCATTCCACAATTCTCGTTCTGTTATTCGAATTTGGCTCTTCGTGAAATCAAGATACTTTTGACAATTTTTATTTTGTACTAATTTAATATGGGGACTGGTGTGTGTGACTAGTTCGATTGATTGTCAGAACTATTTTTATTGCGATTTGCATGAATTTGAATAGCGAAATTATTATTTTTTATTTTTGTAATTAAACCTGTGTCTCGATGTGATGGGTGATTGGAAGGGAAAATGACGAATTATTTCGTAGGAAATTGAATTTTTAGGAGATTAGAACAATTATTTCTTCAAAAATTAGAATCATTTCTCCAAAATAATCCAGCTGCAACGATTTTGTAAACTTAAATCACGAATTTCTACTGAAGATGCCTTTTAGCATAGAATAATTACTAATTGATAATTAACCGGATTATTTATCAATTCAAGGTCAATAAACCATTTATTTCGAGAATTAAATTTCTAAGGAAAAATCTCTTCTGATATTTTATTGGAAATCCACTCGTTTTTAGATAAATCCGAACCAAACAGAAATTTTTCATATTTTTTTTTCATGAAATTCGCTTTTGTTAATTATTAATTAATCTCAAGAACGATTTATGGAAAGAAAAAATGTTTTCAAACATCGTCTCTTCAAAACTGTTCATAAAATCAATTTGAAATAAACAAAAACCTTATTTTTCTACCGGCTACCAAATTAGTTTTCCTTAATTTTACAATTATCTCGTTAGTCACCAATTTTCGGGAATAATGTTAAAAGACAGTTTTCTTCGGGCATTAAATTTCCAACAAAAAATGTCTTTTGACATTTAGCCCACACCCCCCTCACTCATAAGATAAATTACAAACAAACAATATAAATCTTCAAATTTATTCACGAAATTCGTGTTTCACAATTGTCAATTTATCTCCAAAACGACGCATGTTAGACAAAAATGTCATAAGAAATTTTTTGTAGCTGGCAAAATTCCCAACAAAAGATGTCTCTCGACATTTTCCCGTAAAACCCCTCGCGCCGACATAATCCAGCGTTCAGTACCCAAAACAAATTATTTTTCAATTTCAATCATTTCAAGACAACATTTCCTGATCATAACAAATCCCCGTATAATCCGACATAGGAATGAACACGCTCCACTCACCGACCTGATGATGCCCCGCGTCATCTGTCCCGCGGCTCTGTCACTACGCAGCACGTGGAGTCGGTCTCGTACCGCCTGCACAGGAATCACTGCATTGTTGACGACCCGCAACCCCCACAATGTCCCGCGTAAACTCAACATCGACCAAGAAATTGAGCCTATCTCCACCGCGCCGAACTTGAAGTGTGTTGTCGTAGACATAAACTCAAAAGAAGTTCGATGGATTTCCATTTACACGGGAAATAATAGCCAACTCCTGTCCCGTTTCCACCGAGACTTCATCGTTGTGTTTCCACCGACGAGTTACTTAATCTCTACTCATGTCCAACTCCCCGGTGGAAATAGGCCCATTATCTCAAGTCATCAAAGCCCTCCACATTCACATGAAACAACAAAACACATTCACTCTACACTTCCGCACGAATAAAACAAAAACTCCGCGATTTAACATGGCGTCTCGCGGCAAAATCCTTTGTCCCGACACAGCACTGACAAAAACATCCGAATTCCCGTGAATTTACGCCGTTTTCATTGTTCAATTGATTGTCTATAGAAAAAGAATGCATGACACTACAATTCACTCGACAATTATCGCGTAATTTAACCGTAAACATCGAGATTCGGCGTCTTTCATTGTCTGACACACGTGAGTCTCTGCCGGCGCGCCGCCATTTTGCTGCTCTCACTCCGTCCCACTGCGCAGGCGCGACGAGCGCGCGCAGCCGCGCACCGAAAAATGATACTTCGTTTAACCTATTCGCAGTGTTTTTCTTTCAACTAATTAATCAGCTGATTGATAACCAAGAACCTTAATAAGAAGATTAATTGATAATTAAATGATTTATTGATGATGGATGAATCATTGAGACGCCAGTGCGAGTTTTATTTGAGATATTCTGTCTGAAACGTCGGAGGGAGCTGAATAAAATAAGATGAATAATCTAATCGTGCGTATTATTTTATAAATAAATTGAGATATGAATACATGAAGGGGAGGAGGGTCAAATGAAGTATTTTTTATTGGTTGTAACTAAAGATCGGCAGAATGAAATTCAAGAATTTTTTTTCCTTTTTGAAGTTTTTTTTTCAAAGTTTAAAATGAAATTCGATTCATTCAAATCGTATCGTTTGTTTAAGAGCTATCGATGTTTTAAGAATTTGCTTTTTTACTATTCTTCTTTGAACAATTACTAACAAGTGCGTAATAATAAAAATCAATATTTGCTCCATTCATTTTATCGATTTAGTCGAGAAGAATATTAAAACGAGTATTATTATTTAAAAAATATTCTCCCTCATTTCGCATTTTACCTCTTCTTCTTTTAATAATTACTAACGAATGCGTAATAATAAATATCACTGTTTACTCTGTTCATTTTGTTTATTTAGTTGAGAAGAATGTTGACTTATAAATAAATGTAGTTATAAATTAATTAAAATATGAGTAAATGAAGGTGAGAAGGGTAAAATGAACTATTTTTAATTAACTACAACTAACGATCCCCAGAATGAAATTGAAGACTTTTTTCTCTTTTTGAAGTTTTTTTATGCTTTAAAATGGAATTTGACTTATTCAAATCGTATCGTTTTTTCAAGAGATATTGATGACTTAAAAATTTGCATTTTACCTTTTTTTCTTTTAACAATTACTAAAAAAATGCGTAATAATAAAAATCAATATTTACTCCATTCATTTTATCGATTTAGTCAAGAAGAATATTAAAACGAGTATTATTATTAAGAAAATCCTCTCCCTCATTTCGCATTTTACCTCTTCTTCTTTTAATAATTACTAACGAATGCGTAATAATAAAAATCACTGTCTACTCTGTTCATTTTGTTTATTTAGTCGAGAAGAATGTTGAAACGAGTACTGCTATTAAAAAAATACTCCCCTTCAAGCCGAAGTATTTATAATTCTCCGCAATTAACGACATCAGCACTAGACAAAATAGAAACAAACGAGAATACTAAATGGAGGGAAGAGCTGTTGTCAACAATGCGAATATTCCCGGAGTTTATTACCCCACAAGAAGAGGAGAGACTGTTCAATGAAGTCGAGCCTTACATGAAACGTCTGCGCTACGAGTTCTCCCACTGGGACGATGTGAGATTAACTGATCGACTCACGATTAATTATTGTATTTATTCAGATGTTCAAGTATTTTGCAGGCGATTCACGGGTACAGGGAGACAGAGCGGGCTAACTGGAACGATGAGAATACTAAAATCATTGATAGAGTGAGGAAACTGGCGTTTCCACCCGGCATGCCACAACTGGGACTTGTTCATGTTCTGGATTTGGCTCCTGAGGGGAGAATAAAACCTCATGTCGATAGTGTCAGGGTAAATTTCCTCTTTTATTTGTTTAACAATAATTTTCTTGATTAGTTGATTTTTAAATCATTGGATTGATTCGTTTAACAATTAAATAATTAATTAAATTATTTCTCATTTCATTCATTAAATAAGTGATTTAAATTATTTTAATTTAAACCATTGAAATTTTCATTATTCGAAATTCAATTCTCTACAAACAATTCCTATTGCCATTTTTGTCTAAAAAATCGAGGAAAATTCCCTCATTTTATTTCTCTAACAACAATTTTTTTGATTAGTTGATTTTCAAATCATTGGTTTGATGCATTTAGCGATTAAAGAATTAATTAAATCATGTCTTATTTCACTCATTAAATAACAAATTTAATGATTTTACTTTAAAAAATTGAAATTTTAATTATTCAAATGATTTACTTCAGGAAGAAATTTCAAAAGAACTTCTTTATTCTAAATTCAATTCTCTACAAAAAGTTCCTATTGACATTTTCCTTAAAAAAAATTAGGAAAATTATTCTCTATTAATTCCCTCATTTTAATTCTTTAACAACAATTTTCTTGATTAGTTTTCAAATCATTGAATTGATTCATTTAACAATTAAATAATTAATGAAATCATGTCTTATTTCACTCATTAAATAATGATTTTTAACTATTCTAACGTAAACCATGGAAATGTTAATTATTTGAATGATTTTCCTTGAAAAAAAATGAAGAAAAGTCATTTGTCCATCACTCTTATATGAAAACCAAATGACCTTAGCAAAAAATGTAAATATTGTTCCCAAAAAATTTCCTCTCCAACAAAAAAAAACCCTCAAAATTTTCCTTTATTCCAAAAAATAAATTCACTTAAATTTTTCAGTTTTGTGGAGATGTGATAGCGGGAATAAGTCTCCTAACCGATTGCATAATGCGACTGACCCTCGTGGGAAACGAAAAAGACTATCGCGAGGACTTTCTCCTCCCCCGCAGATCCCTCTACATAATGAGGTAAAAGAACTGTTGGAATCCTCCCAATTTTCACATTAAAATACATATAAAAAAAATTTTTATATCTTTATCTCTATCTTTTATATCTTTATTAAAAAGACTAGCCGAGGCAAAACGAAAAAAAAAACAATACAACCCGCGAGAAACGAATAAACATAAAAGCAACATTAACTTCAGAGAACATGTTCATAGGAAAAGTTCTGATGAAATGCATTTTAAAGGGTGAAACAAGACATTGACAAAAATATTTTAATGGCATTTATTTTCAGTGGTGTAGCGCGTCAGAAGTACAATCATGAGGTATTAGGCCCAGAAGAATCAATGTATCAAGGAGAGAAGATAATCAAAGGTAGACGTATTTCCATAATATGTAGGAGTGAGCCTGTCGGTGAAAAGGATCCTTAAAATACAATATGTAATCTACACCCGATGAACTCCAAGGAAAATCAAACAGACGAATACACATGGCATTGTCACAAAATTGATGTACAAATGTGTCAAATTCAATTCAGCGAAGCACAAATTACAAAATTGCTTTCCACCTCCCCATCCATAAATAATCACTCATCCCTGAATCCAAAATACATATTATTGTAGTTTAATTAAATTGTTGAAAGCCCTCGCAGTCTCTCGAATTGACTATCCCTCGGGGAAAAAACGGAACTTGGGACGAAAATATGAAGTTAAATTTCAGCTTTTGATGAATTATCTGAGCGTCGCCATCATCAAACCAAAAATACAACTCGATAACAGAAGTCGAACGCCACGGGACATCCCTGGAAGCTCCCTAGCAGAATTTCCACCGATTGCCACAGTGATTACACAGCACAAACGTTGTCATGGGCTCGTCAGCGGACCTGGTCTGCACTTGATTGTACGTGCAATTACGCTGTTTACATTTTCCACACTTAAGTAAATCGGTTTTGGTGCCCTGCACAGTGGCCAGTTGAGCGTCGTTGATGGCTTCTTTCTTGAATTTGTCTCGAAGCTGTTTTATCTCGTCACTCGCCATCTCCTCGGCACTCATCACAGCAAGACGTTTCGCTGGAATTGCCCCCACGAGGAAATTCGTCCGCAGGGTGGGATTTTTGGCGTCTCGAAGATTTGCAACACGACTACGAACCTGTGGAGATCAATCGTTGGTGATAGTTACCATTAGTTCTGTGAATTCAATCGATTAGTACTGGGGAGTTGATGACTAAAACCTGGAGATTACGAGGAAATTTGGTGGAAATACCGAGGGAATAGCGTAAACCCAAGGAGATGGAATTATCTGCGCAGGTAAATTTAAATTGCGATTCTAGGTGACTCAAACTATTGGACAATCAATATAAATCGCGTGAGAATGCAATGTACGAATGATTATTTATATGTATATATCATTTTGCAGTCGTTTGCCTCGAAATACTCGACATTTTGATGCTTTTATCCTAGTGGATCTCTAGATTAAAGGAATTTACAGAGGATTCAACGGCGTAATTAGTTGTATACTGTCTACGATAATACGAAAATTGAGACGTATTTTAATTATCTACCCTTCGGCATCCTACGAATATAGAATACAGCTGTCGATTAGATTATTCATTTCATCGAGGTCTTCGATATTTCCGGAATGAGATTTATATTTTTCTCATTATAATTGAATTTTCTCTTGTACATTTTTAGATAAGTGATAATCAGGAAGAGAAATAAATAAAACAGATAGTCCGATAATTATTTATGATGTTTCTTTGTATTTACCGTGAATACTCGATTGTCTTTGAGACGATTTAAATAATGAAAGCCATGTCTACTGGGTTTAACAGTGAGGAATTTAGTGATGTTAATAATATGTCAAATGGAGAATAAAAAAATTCAGACAGCTGACGGGTTGGGAGTATTCACGTCTCACTACTGCATGAAAATCAAGTGGAAATGTGAGGGTTCAAGGGTCGTTTCAAGCTTTTTCTTTTGGATGAATCACATTTTTCGAACTGAAATTAGATCGATTAATCTTTAATAGGGAATTGAAAAACGATTTTAATGGCCAATTCTGATGGCATACTATTTAATACTCTCTGATTTTACCATTCGATTATTTCAATAAATAAAGAATAGTGAAAAATGGATTATTTTTTGCAATTGAAATATTATCTCAATAATAAGAATTTAAAAAAATTAAATTTAAAAAATTATTTTAAGAGTGTGCAATAAATTATTTCTATTTATGAAAGGTAAATTTCAAATGTTTTATTCGTCTTTTCAACTGTATATTTACCCTATTTTTATATCTGCTGTCAGTATTTTTAAATTCGCAATAAATAGCCTCCTCCAGTTCCTCGGCGAGTTCCTCAGGGGATGCACAGCCCTCAATAGTTTTCCCATCGACCCTCAGGGCAGCCGCCAGTAGTTCCCTGCACTTGAGTCTTACAGCATCAGTGGTGGTGGCTGGAGGAAAGGACGTCTGCTTCTTATCCATATCCTTCCTGGATTTTTCCTCTTTAATTTTAACGTCACCACTGTCTGAGTCCTTCTTCCTGTCGTCGTCTTTGGACTTTTCTGAACGTTCCTCCTTCTTCTTGGAGCTGCTGGTCGACCCAGAGTCCTTTCCATCTTTGTTTGAAGCTGAAAGTAACGAATACATTCCACAAATTCTAAAATGGACTGATTTGATCTTCAATATGCCAAGATTGGCTGAGTAAAATTACACAATTTTTTTTTCATTTTAAAGATATTTTTTGAGGCTTTAAAATGAGATATGACTCATCCAAATTGGATCATTAATTCAGGACATATCAATAATGAAATAAAAACCATTTTGGAATATCAAGGGAGAGTTGACAAAAATGAATTGGTTTTCAATCTGTAATAACTCTAAACTGGCTGAGTGAAATTTCAAATAGTTTTTTTCATTTTAAAGATATTTTTCGAGGCTTCAAAATGAGACGTGACTAATCAAAATCGCATCATTACTTCAGGAGAAATCAATGATCAAATAAAAAATCGTTAGAAACATCACCTCTGACAAAACGCATTTGTCGATAAGAATAAGTGAATGCCCAAATAAATTACCATTCAAAAATTTCTTCCAATTTTTAATCAGCGTCTTGGACAGCGATATGACTTCCTCATCGTGACTGGATTTACGTAATGCATTGACAGTCATTCCTATCCTGGTTTTGGTGAGCAGTTCCAAATCGACTGGTAATTTTTGCAGGATCTTGAGGAGCTCCAAGGCCTGCTCCTGTCCCTGAATCAATCAAAAACGATTGACTAAAAAAACGTTGCATAAACGATCACTCATCTCATCACCCAAAAACCCAAACAGAACCTCGAGAATGGGACAATAGGACTATTGATGTTGCTGGAGGACTCCCAGAGGAGACGCGTCCCGGTTAAATTTCTCGGAGCGTTCACGGCATTCTCAATTTACTCACTCACTCACCGTCCCGTCGCCGTTTGACATCTTCGTGAGCTTCTTCTGGATCCTCATGACTTCCTCCTCGGCGTTCATCACGATTTTGGCGGGGTTTAACACAGGTGGATGGGATTACGAGGGCCACGCGGATATTTGGTTATTCGAGAATTTATTAGACCCACAACGTTGGCTTGCAGACAGAATACTGGACGAACGAGAAGATGGGGGTAACGTAGCACGAGGAGAAGAGTGCATGGAACTATGGTCAGGGCTGCCAACTGAGTAAATTTTCCCGCGCTATTTCAAGCAGAATGGAAAATGCTTCATTGAATCAGGGAATTTCAACTGTCAATTTATTTATTTACTGGTTTTTTAATTATTTTTTTCAATTAATTTATTTTTATTGTGGATTTGGCTGCGCATTGCGTTGATAAAACAATTTAAAATGTCAATTTAGCAGTTGGATAACTTTTTAAAATGATATTCAACATTTTTGATAAAAATTTTCGTTATTTATTGGATTTTATTATTGGAAATAGATAAGGAAGTTTCAAGGAGTCCTTTGAATGAAGAATTGAAGCTTTCGGTGGGGAAAAAATTCTATTTCATTGTTTATTGTGATAGAATGAAATACCAAATGTCTATTTAATTTCAGGTAAAAAAATGTTGACGTGAAAAAAAAAATATTAAAACGTTGCTATTTCATTTACAGAAGAAAACGTTTTAGTGAATCAATGAAGTACTCAATGAAAATTTCTTGAAATAATTGTATTTCATTACTAGAAATAGATAAAAAAGTTAGTTTAGAAGACGTTGATTGAATTGTTCGCTGGAAAAAATCGATTTCTCTTCGAAAAATGTTGGTCATCGAGAATAAAAAGCTTGAAACGAGCATTGAAACCTCACATTTCCCCTTGATTTTCATGCAGCAGTGAGAGGTAAATACTCCCAACACGTCAACAGTCTGAATTTTTTTATTCTCCATTTGACATATTATTAACATCACCAAGTTCCTCACTGTTAAACCCAGTACACATGGCTTTCATTATTTAAATCGTCTCAAAGACAATCGAGTATTCACGGTAAATACAAAGATACATCATAAATAATTATCAGACTATCTGTTTTATTTATTTCTCTTCGTGATTATCACTTATCTAAAAATGTACAAGAGAAAATTCAATTATAATGAGAAAAATATAAATCTCATTCCGGAAATATCGAAGACTTCGATGAAATGAATAATTTAATCGACAGCTGTATTCTATATTCGTAGGAAGCCGAAGTGTAGATAATTAAAATATGTTTCAATTTTCGTATTATCGTAGACAGTATGCGACTAATTACGCCGTTGAATCCTCTGTAAATTACTTTAATCTAGAGATCCACTAGGATAAAAGCATTGAAATGTCGAGTATTTCGAGGCAAACGACCGCAAAATGATATATACATATAAATAATCATTCGTACATCGCATTCTCATGCGATTTATATTGATTGTACAATATTTTTAGTCACCTAGAATCACAATTTAAATTTACCTGCGCAGATAATTCCATCTCCTTGGGTTTACTCTATTCTCACGGTATTTCCACCAAATTTACTCGTAATCTTCAGGTTTCATTCATCAACTCCCCAGTACTAATTCATCATTATCGCTATATTTATTATTATTGTTTTTTCATTGCTGTTGGTTTAGCTGACTGCCATTATTTATGTCTAAAGATAATTACAGCTGATGTTCAATAGGTACTTGGTACAAATATATTCATGTACATTATGGTTTGATGTGTTTCTCGATGAATGCCTTCATATCGCGCATTTCCTGAAAATAAAAAAAATTACGTTTAATACATTGCAGTTCAAATAAAACATGAGTCATTCTCCTAGAATTTATCAATGCACATCCCTTTTTTCTATTAATTCACTTCATATTCTTTTGCATTTCCTCCATTAATTTGGAATCACTCCCTCTCAATTTTATCTTTAATTTCAGCAATTAGAATTTTTTATTGATGAAAATCGACTCTTTTTCATGAAAATTCATCGATAAAAATTTAGTCTCCGTGATTTTTTTCTTCAGATCATGTGTGAAGTAATCCAATGGTCTTAAAATTTGCCAACAAAAATCGTTGAATGTCTGTTAAATTAACTAAATGTTAAACTTGTGAAGTACCTCGTCAGAGGAGCCATGCATCATTCCCCTGTACGTCTTGAACTCCGTGTGTCCCATGAATTGCTTGAGAAGAGAGGCTGTCATCTGTCCCCACTTGTATGGCACAATAGGATCGCAATCTCCGTGACACTGGAGCACCGGAGTATCTTTATTTCCCACTGCAATCTAAATGAAATAAAGTGAAACATAAAGGCACAAAAATCGAATATTGGAGTTTAAAAACGTTGATGGGACTGATGATGGCTTACAGCTGGGAATTGTTGGTGGAGAGGAAGCCAGGCAGACAGAGCCACCACTCCTGCTAGTGGCTTGGAGTATGTGAGGGCACTGTACAGGGCTAGTGCACCACCCTGACTGAATCCACCGATGACGATTTGGTTTGATGGAATGCCAGCAGTAACTTCCTCTTCGATCATTGCGTGGACTGCTTCAGCCGCTCTCCTTATTCCTTCCTCGTCCTCGGGACCTGTGGCGTCCAGGGATCGAAGGTCAAACCTGCAAGAACATAAGAAACCTGGAGTTGATGCTTATTCGAGAATTATTTCAGATTTGGAATCCGTTTTGCCATATCGACGTTTTTATTTTGATAGTTTCTGCAGTTCTTGCAGATATTTTCAAGAAAATTAATCACCAATTTCTTCTGCAGTAATGAAAAATGAAAAATTGAATTTGTAATAGTGAAAAATGAAACGAAATTAGTTATCTTCAACCTGTTTTCGCTGAATATCTCAAAATCTAAGGAAATTAACGGAATTTTCGTGACGATTTTTTTTTTAGCTCTTGATATTGCCCACAAAAAAGATCTAGGCAAAAATTCCACTATCCCCTCCCAATTCCAAGATATCCAGCAGCAACTAATCGTCAATTCATTCATGAAAGGATAAACTGAGTCATTTTCAGCGTTAATTTTTCATGAATATTTCCAAATCTAAGAGAAATATCAAAATTTTCGTTCCGACCTTTTTTGTAGCTCTTGAAATTCCCCACAAGAAGTGTCTGAAGAAAATCTCGCCATCTCCCTTCAATCCAGAAATATCCCCTAAAAACTAAATCGCGAGTAAATTTATGAGCCTGCTGCTTCTTCTATTCATTCTCTCTCTTTTCTATTTTAATCATCAACTTAAGCTCATCAACCTAATTCAGATTGAAAGAAACCCCAAGTTATTTTCAATTTAAATCTCCCCAGAATTCCTCAACCGTTTCGACGTTAATTTCTTCTAAAAATGGAACGAAAATTTGAGTCTTTTCTGAATATCTCAAAATCTACGAAAAATACCAAAATTTCCATTAGACCTTTTTTGTAGCTCTCGAAATTTCCCACAAAAAGTGTCTGAACAAAAATCTCGCCATCTCCCTTCACTCCAAAGATATCCTCTAAAAACTAAATCCCGAGTAAATTTATGAGCCTGTTGTTTCTCCTATTCATTCCCCCTCTTCTCTATTTTAATCATCAACTCAAGCTCGTCAATTTACCTCAGATCGAAAGAAACCTCGAGTTACTTTTAATTTCAATATCCCCAGAATTCCTCAATCTTTTCATTACATTAATTTTCCTCTAAAAATGAAACAAAAATGAGATTTTACTCACCAAGACGGCATTCGGAATCCAGCATTCAGGGTAACAGGCATGGTAGGTCTGCAAATAAATAATCAACAGTAAAAAATCTTGAACTCGAATAAACTCAGACGAATGATACTTACGCAGTGGGGCAAATGACTTTCATGTATGGCGTGCGAACCGAATCCATAGTGCTGGCCCATCCATGCCTGTGAATGATTACAATTGTCAATTGATCCATAAATGAGTAGACACAAACATTTTTCTCAATTAATTCTTACCCAGTGTCACCGAGGCCATGAAGGAATATCAACTGCAATGGAGCACAGAAATTTAAAAAGCATTCATTAATATTCCGGAATTATTCACATCCTAGAGATTTGAGCATAAAAAACCTAGTCCCCATTCAGTAGTCTGTAATGACAGAGTGAACTGGGTCACCCTTATCTCTAATCAAATTACACATGTAAAGGATGGATATTAATCGATAAATCGCCGATCCCATGACCGATTGATTGAGAAATGTCGCAACTGCCTCAGAAGGATTAAATAAATGAGCAAACTCGAGACGTCAGGGGCTAACCAAAAATAATGTAATCTTTGGGAAGAAATTGTAGTATTTACTCACTGTTGCGGTGTGCCGGGCTTTAGCAGCTATCACCACGGGACCTGCCATCGCGATTTCAGGACTTTAATGACGAAATAATTACACTGCTGGCAGTGTCAGCGTTGTCACCCTCGGGAAGCAACTGATAATTTTATCAAAAAAGTGAAATTTGTAAATACTGAAAAGGAGTGGAAGGAATGATATCGTGGTGAGTTCGGCAATGCCACTGGTGGGGACCCTAGAACGCCCCTCTATTGGCACCACTTTCTCCCCCCCTCGACTCTTTTTTCATCGAATTTGTGAGACTCAGTGATGTAATTGATGGTAATCGTATTTTTTGAGAATTAGAATTACAAATGATTTTAGTCCCCCAGAATTTATCAGCGAAAATCACGCGTTTAATTTTTTTGTTTTTTTCTTTCATTTATTTGTAAAAAACGCTCGGTGATGAAATTCATTAGAAGTTGTTTTCATTTTTAAAAATTGCTCTTTTTGTTTAATGATCTCCCTGCTCCTTGTTTTATCGATTAATGAGGCTTCATTTTTCGTTTCTTTCTTTCTAATTAAAGCAGTCCACTCCAGTATTTTTTTTTATCGAATTTGTAAGACTATCAGTAATGTAATCTTGATGGAAATCTTTTTTGAGAATAAGAATTACACATGATTTTATCCCCCAGAATTTATCAGTGAAAATCACGAGTAGTTTTTCAACTTTTGTTTTTTTTTTCATTTATTTGTAAAAAACACTCGGTGATGAAATTCATTAGAACTTATTTTCAATTTAAAAAACTGCCATTTTTGTTTAATGATCTCGCCACTCTTTCTTTTATCGCTTGACGAGGCTTTACTTTTCGTTTATTTTTTTCTAATTACAGCAGCTCACTCCAGTAATTTTTTTATCGAATTTATGAGGCTATTGGGGATATAATCTTGATAATTATTATCCTTGAGAATTAGAACTACAAATGAATTTAATCCCCCCCCCCCCTTTCCGAATTAATCAGTGAAAATCTATTCTTTCACCCTTTGTTTTTTTCATTTCTTCGTTAAACACTTCTTGATGATTCGTAAACCATTCGAGGAAAAAACTGCCCTTTTCATTTAATGATTTCTCCACTCTTTCTTTTCTTGATTGGTGTGACTGTTGATATCTCATTTTTTTCTCCTATTAAATTTATGAGATTAAAGACAGAGGAGCGTAAGTTGGCGCTGTTGGTAAGAGCATCAGCCTTGTAATTTGAAAGTTGTAAGTTCAAATCCCAGTTGGGTTTATCAGTTTTCATTCCTTATCTCATTCGAACTTCATCGAAAATAATTTTTCATTTTTTAAAATATTTTATTCATCATTTTCAGACCATTTCCATCCCCTCGATCAGAAAAAACTCTCTGAATCATATTTTAAATTCCAGTTTCAATTAATTACTTCCCTTTAACGATTCCCCACCCCTCAAATTCTTATTTAATCCTCATGCAATATGTGAAATAATTCAATTGTCCCAGAGTTAGTCAACAAAAATCATTCATCTTTATTCAATAATATCTATCCTAGCTTTTCTATACTGTCTACTCTGTACATTCCTCACTAAAACAACATTCGTCTTCCTCTCAATCAATTTCACCAGAGACTCCATCACGACATATCCCCATCCGACCCCAGTGGACTCTGTGAAACAAAAATCCCCCTGAATCAGGTGCCCCATGACCTCTCGATCGCAGGAATGACGAACCCCCCTACACTCTGGGAGGCACAAGGCCCTCATCCTCTCTGCATGCTCTTTGACATCAACATTGGGAGTTTCTCCCCCTTCGGGCAGTTTACCCCCCTTTCTCAGCCTCGACCGTCTCCTCATGGCTCGTTTCAAGGCCTCTTTATGGCTCTTCGTCATCAGTTTTCGTTTTTTCTGCAGGGGATCGGGTTTAAGGCTCTCCACAGGGTCCTTAGGCGTCCTCAGGTCCTCCTCACTTGGAGTGCAGATAACAGCGAATTTTTTTGGTCTCCCTTTCCCCAGAATTTTTATCCTCACGGGGACTAGACAAGATCGATCGAGGGATTCGTCAATCTTCAATGGGTCACGAGACGATGGGTTTTTCCTCCTCCGATGCCTCTGATCCCCTGAAAAATCCCGCAGGGTGGACCCCAGCGCTCGGAGAACTCCTGGACTCCTCAGGACTTTAACAGCATCTCCACCTGTCCATTCCCTCACCAGAATGCCCCATTCGCAGCAAAAAGGGCTCGATATCGAGAATTTCGTGAAGTTGATTCTTCTGTTCGGTGGACGACGAAAGTAGGCCTCAGTCAGTTCGTTTTTAAGCTCCAAGGACTCCTTGGAATAGGCTAAAGTGTCTGGGTGATGCACCTCTGGGGAATTCAGCATGAGATTTTCAAAAATCACGGATTGGTACTCGCGGAGGCCTATTGGTCGGGCGCACCTGTGCATGAAGGCTATCCAGAAGGCTAGGCCCCATCTAGATGGCAGGATTATGTCTATTCCTGAAGAAAAACCTGGAACAAAATTATTTGGGAATTTAGTAGGCAAGGGATGGGGAGATTTTAAATAAGAATGGATGGGTTTTAGGGAATATTTTGTATTTTGGGACGTTTTTCATTGAACGATTTAATTCATTAAATCTTCAAATTAATTAATTAATAATAATTTACTTATTTATTTATTTGACTTGAAAATACTTCAATTCCTTCGAGATATTTGGGAATTAGAAGACAGAGATTATTGGAAAAATATTTTTTGCAGGGAATTTGAAGAGCTAAAAATGTTTGAATAAAATTCAAACATCATTTATTCATTCATTTTATTTGGCAATCTCTTTTAGATCCGAAGATGTTTCCCAAAAATTAAATTTTACTCTGAAGTGAATTTTAAATATTTTCTCATCAAATAAAACCCCCAAGTTCCATAAAACAAGACTCAATCTCCTTTAAATACCTTCTGAAAAATCGTAACTCTCAATTCCCCCAAAACACCAATTCCAAAAAATAAAAACGAAAGACATTAAAAGATTATCGACAATTACCAACGCTTTTCTCTCCATCAGTGCCCCCTGGGCACTGCACGAGAATAACCGGCACCTTGGCGACGATATCCTCATCAATCTCGCCATCATTCTGCACCCCAGGCACAAGATTGCCCTCCCTCAACTTATTAATCTCATTATTCGTCTTAAACTCCCCCTTGACCCTCTCTCTGCCAGCTGCCTCCCACAGAGGGCTCTCAGCGACCCCCTCAGACACCCTAAGCACCCTCCTGCAGTCCTCCTGACTCAGCACAGCCTTCCTCCTCCTCTCAGGAAGAAAAATCCTGGGATCCAAGACAGTGAGTGCCACCACAGAGCCCCTAGGCAGCTGCCCAGGTGAATTCAACGTCTTGATTCCCTCGAAAAACTCCCCCTGAAGCCTAAAACAACTTCTACTCCTCGACTCCTCATACCACACGTCGTTCCAGGATTTTTTTTCCTCACCACCTGGTGATTTCGGCAGTTTCAAAGTATCAGAGAGCACAGCAATGCTCAGAGGCCCCCGAAGCCTGAACCTGTTGAAGTAATTCCTCAGTAAATTCACTCTGCAGCCAGACTCTTCAGAATTCATCGACTCCTGTCCCCCAGGAGCTGCAGTGAACCCAAAATCCAGTGAAATTTCGTGAAGAACATCATCGAAGAGGGCTGGGTGCACCCAAATCCAGAGAGTCCTCAGATTCTCCTCTCCCCTGGGCCTCCAGAAGAAGTGGACAACCCCCACAGGACAATTGTCCCTCTTATAAAAGACTAGAGAACCCTCTCTCGAGCCAGTCAGGTACATCCTGGCCCCAAAAGACAGCTGATCCCTGCAGTGAGCCCTCAGTCTCTCGATCAAGACCCCCTCTGGACCCATCAGCTCGATGCAGCTGTAGTAGGAGACATCCTGCATCATGCAGTGCTTGGCAACAGCTCGGTAACTAGCCCTGAATCCCCTGTCGTTGGAAAAATTCGGTATTTTGTAGCCCCATTTCTCGCACATGTGGAAGCGTTTCGCGTGCCAAATGTGGGTCTCCAGCCACTTTTTCGTGCGCTTCCTGCGGCTGTACTCGAGGAGGAGGTTGTGGGGACGTCTTCGGTACTTTCGAGAGGGCCTCTTGGCTCTTGGGGGCAGGCCAGACTTCTCCATTTGCATCTGGTGGGCTTCGCGCAGTCTTCTCGGCATTCTTTTGGCGTTGTGCGACATTACTCGACGTCGCATGTGCACTGGCAGCTTTTGAAAGACTAATTTTGTTCGTTGGGGGTTTTCTGGAACAGGGGAGGGTCAGGTGAAAATTGGGGAAAATGCTCACATGGTTATTTGCTGACAATTGTTTTATTTTTTCATGTATTGTTAGGGAAATTATTCTGTTTGTTTTGCTTCGAGGGATTGTTTCGTCTGGTGTTATTTGTTTATAATTATGCTTTTTTTATGTAGTATTATTATTAGTTGAGAATCAATGAGAAGAAATAATTATGGAGGGTCTAGGGCAAGGGTTAAGCTTTAAAAACATTGAATTAATGCAAAAATTTAAGGATAAGGGGAAAAAATGGAAAATTGGGAATATTAAATTCATGTAAAAATTGATAAACATTGAAGAATGTGAACATGGGATTAAGGGAAAATTCATTTGCTTTGCGTCGATGTATTGTTTTCTCTGGTGTTATTTGCTGGCAATAATTTAATTCTCTATGCAGTGTTATTATGAACTGAAAATTAATAAGAAATAATTATACAGGGTCCAGGCCACGCGGCTAGCGTTAAAAATAATGAATACGTACAAAAATTCAAGGATGAGGGTAAAAACAGAAAAATTATAAATATTAAATTCATATGAAAATTAATTTAGTTTAAGGAAAATGAGAATAAAATGGAGAACTTTCGTCGTTTTCAAAAAATCACAATTCATTTAATTGTGAATGAAATTGAATAGTTTTCCATTTTAACAATAACTCGTGTAATTTTTGTTGAAATAAAAAAATTCGTTTTAATGAAAAGCCAACATCTTCGAAATTAAATTTATAAAATTGTTGTTAAATGACGAATCCTCAAAAAAAATAAAAAATCTTCATTGGATTAAAATAAATTGGCACAAAACATGAATAGATTGGAATAAACCGGTATTTCAACCAGTATAATCACAAAATCCCTGATTTATTTCATTCAAACAAAATATTTTGACAAAATAAAGAGGTTAAACTCACCGACAGAGTAAGTCATCGCGGAGATCTCGCTAGCCCTCGCCGAAATCATTTTATTAATCTCCACATCATGAGAGATGCTGACACTCCCCCCGAGGGTCACATCAAACTGCGGTTTATCCATTTTCCAGTCCCAAAGAATCAAATCACCAAATCAACAAAATCCATGTGCGATCTGCGATCTTTCAAAACCCCGACCGATTCTTCTTATTAACAGTCAGCGCCATCTCCCCGTCGCGCGCGCTATCCTCCACCCTCTTTTCAATTTCCCCCCAAATTAAATTTTTCCTGTCAGGACAATAAATTCCAAAATGTCCCCCTAAATCCCGCAAAATCTAATGGAAGCCCTTGAAAAATTCATTTCTCCTGTCATTTAACTCCCAAGCCCCTAGAAAATTAATCAATTAATGAATTTTCATTTTCAAATCCAAAAAACGATCTCAAAATCTCGTAAACTTGCTAAAAAATCACTGGCATTGAATCACCGCGAGGAACCCCCGAATTCCCCCCGACATTCGATACCCCCAATAGATAAAACTTTATCATCCACATAATCGAGATTACAGTTAGCTCTTCCGCTCGAGTCTCTCCGATTGGTGTTTGTCCGCCATCTTTTTGGGGGCACAAAGAGAAGGAGAGGAGGTGGGTGTCTAAAAAAAAAGAGTCGAGTGCCCGTGCCACCGCACGTTCGTGGGTGTTGTACGAATAGATCTGCTTCCACACCACATATTCGTCACCAGCCAATAGTGAAACGAGTTATTGCATCGACGATTTGTTTAATCCATTATTAATTGGTGATTCGTGTGACGGTGGATTCAGTGTGTCGTGAAGTTGTCAGAGGTGAGCAGATCAATCGAATTACTCCCTGGGGATCGTATCACGAGCCCACAGACGATAATTACGACATGAGCATTGAGGAGTTGTTGAAATTGAGTGAATAATAACGAGTGCAGGTTCGTTGGGGCTCCGGTGAATTTCATTTCTCGGTTTTAGTCGGTTTTGAGGTCTCGACGGGGACAACTGCGGCTGGAAGTGCCTGGGGAGTGGAAACAGTGATTTGCCAGTGGGAATAGGGCGAAGGATCGGTGGAATTGGGGAAAAAGTGGAATTCAGGTCTCGTTGGAGTCATTACATCGTTCTTGAACATATAGAGAGAGTGACCCGGTAGGCACTCCGCGCACGAGTTGACTCTCGTCGGTCTGCTTCGATTTTCTCCGTTGCGCGACGATGAGTTGCCCAAGAAACGCTGGCAAGATCACGGTGCCCGACGATCTCAGGGACATACTACTGGAGTTTACCATTAGTTACCTACTCGAACAGCCCGGGGATATCGTTGACTATGCCGTTGATTTCTTCACTCGTTTGCGGGAAAATCGACAGACAATGTTGATTCAGGGGAATGCTACTTGCTCGTCTACACCCGACGAGTCTGTCGACGAGGGTGAGCTTTGTTATTTGTTTATTTAGGTTTTAGTTGTTTAGATCTATGTTCGCAGTCCGGGGTTCTTGAAGTTTTGGGATATGCAAGTGGATTTTACTGGTCGGGTTTTCGATTTTTCAATCATTTTCAATCATCAGATTTGAAAATTAAATTGCGGGAGAAACGTTTGAACAAAATTGTGAATATTCAGGATCGTTCGAATGATATTTTGCACAGAATTAATTTTTTTTGGGGATGACGTCGACTTCTGGGGAAATTTTGAGGTGCAGAAATGATTTTTCATTTATATTCGCAATTCGGTGTTCTTGAAATTTGGGGAATCCAAGTGGCTTTTACTGTTTGGGGTTTCAAGCTTTTTCAATCATCAAATTTGAAAATTAAATTGCGGGAAAAACATTAGAAAAAAAATCGTGAAGATTCAGTGTTATTTGAATGATATCAAGTTTGTCAATTAAATTGCGGGAGAAACTTTTGAAAATTATCATAAATGTTCAGCGTCATTTGAATATTTTGCGCAGAATTAATTTTTTTTAGGCATGAAGTCAATTTCTCGTGAAATTCTGAGTTGAATAAGTGATTTTTATGGTGAAAAATTGGTTATTTGTAAATTATTTGTCAAAAGTGCTCGTGGTTCTCAAAAAATTGGAATTTTTAAATTAATTTGTGGATTTTCTCCGAAAGTAAACTTTGTAATTTTTTCAAATTTTTAGAATGTTTTCTGACGGTTCAATATCGAGATTTAAATTCCGGCCTGCAAAGTTTGAAGAATAACATCGTTGTAAAATGTCAAATGAAGGGCATTTCACTAGAGATAAAATAACCAAAATACTTGGATATCCTTAAGGAATGCTATTTGACATTAAATCATCAGTGGAATTTTCGATACGTTGAAAATTCAGAATTTTATCATTTTTGACGTTGATTTTTATTCCTGATGTCAATGTTTATTCCCTCATTTTTATTCATTTCAGTTAAAAATGCCAGATTCAGGGTACTTGACTTTTTTTTTACTTTTCCTTGAGCACTTCATTTTTATCAGAAAATTTTCTGTCTTATTTAGATTATTTTCTTGGTGGAATCAGGTGATAATGGCTTGAGTGATTTTTTCGCTATTTATTAATGGCAATTTAAAACATGATTTTTACTATTATCATTTATTACTCATTTATTTCATTTCCATTATGATTTTTTAAAGTTCTTCTGTTGATTTTTCTTCCTCATGTCAATGTTTACTCCGTGATTTTTATTAATTTTAATTAAAAATTCCAGATTCAGGGGAATTAACTTTTTTTTTCTGCTTCATTTAGATTTTTTTCCGATTTTAATTGATAATGGCAATGAACAATAGTCAGATTCATTAGAATAGTCTCAACTATTGTATTCCAATTACAACTTTTTCTTTTCTGTTCTGCTTGAGTGATTCTTTTCCTATATATTAATGTCAATTTAAATCATGGTTTTTATCATTCATTACTCGTTTATTTAATTTCTAATACGATTTATTTGTTTTCTTTTTATTTTATTTTTACTTCCTGATGTAAATGTGTATTCCTTAATCTTCATTAACATCAAATAGAAATATCGTGGTTATTATTATGAATTGCTTCTCCGGTGTTCCTGTATTTATCTTCTTTTTTATTTATAATTATTTCTAGCGTCAATGTTGATTGCCATTAATGTCAATAAAGAACGCAATGTTCATTCCAAAATGAAATTCCATTTTATTCGGACTAACCAGAAGTATGTGGCCTCGATAGAAATAAACTAAAAGACAACTTTACCTTCAAGTTTCTCTCGTAATTGGAACATACCACGTTGCACCTGTTATCTCCTTAATTTAGATGGTACCGAGTGAATCTAGTTATTTACGAAATTGTGGTAAATCTCTAGTAACTTGTGGGATTTTCTGTTAGAACTAGCCTGAGGTAATTCAATTGAGGACTCGAGTGGTTGATAATAATATTAGTCCAAATGAGATGAAATGGTCTTGACATTTTTCCTAATTTCTTTAATTTCAGAGCCACCAGTTGGGAGATTTGCCTCTCGACGAAAGAGTGTTTTTGCAGAGACTTATGATCCTGAGGAGGATGAGGAGGAGGAAGGTGTCAGGGTAATTACAATCCATATTTTTACCATTTCACATTTTCCCAATTAAATAAAAAAATTGAATTTATCGATGTTCCCTCGCAAAATTGAAATAAAAGCGCAGATTGTCGGGGAAGAGATGACTAGCTGATTAACAATTCAATAACATTTTTATAGAAGCCTATTTATATAATAAAAAAAAACTAACCCAACAATATTCGTAGTTTTATCGATAAAGCGAGGCTTGCCTCATCGAGTAATGAATTTTCTCGTGTTTTTGCACCTGCCTCTTTGAGAAATTACAAAAGGTTTGCCTTACCCAATCATGCGTGCGATAAAGGCCTTTATGACGTCAGAGACACATGCTCAATAACCCCAGCCTATAAACGTAATTTGTAGATGGGATGGCTAACCAAGTGATATTGAATGTCGCTCTGCTATTTATTATAAAAATATATTAATGGAGGAGAATAATCATCGAGCTTTGTATTGTGAAAAATTTAGTAAAATCTGATTAATGATTATGTTGAGATTTCGTTTTTAATAGATCGGAGATTTTTATTATATGTCGCAGTGAGACTAACATTTTCGTTATTGTTAAGTATATTATTGTTTATTTATCCATATATAGCCGATTAGGCTTTTTACATTCATCACTGTTAAGTATTTTAATTATTTAATTAAATGGGAATGAAATATTCTCCTGTATTGAATGACCGTTGAACTGAATTTCAAAGGAAGATATTCTATTGTAGCGACTAATAATAATCTCTTCACGCAATTGAATCGTTTGATTACAATTCATCCAATTAATTTCAATCGAATGACCTTTTCTAGTCAACAGAATTTCTCCTATTTATCACTGCATTGTTCTAAATGAATTGAAATTAAAATGTATGTCATTTGAATCTGAATGTGTTGAAAATTCTCAAAAATTGTGAACACCTTTTTTAATTGTTTTCCTCATTACATCGAGTTTAAATTTAAATTCTCATTCAATATTCACTTTTCCTGGATTTTTCTCTAGATTTCCCACTTTTACGTAACAAAAATCATTGAAATTCATTACGAATTTGACCTCTTCCCTATTCAAACAATTTCAACCTGAAATTCAAAACCGAATGCTCCGCAGTCTCAAAGGATTTAATTCCCTTCTGCAATTAAATCCTTGAATGAATTACATTCATCCAATTAATTTCAATTGAATGACCTTTTATATTCAACACAATGTCGTGAATTAATTAAAATGAAAACATAATTTCTCGTGTATTGAAAATTCTAAAAAATTGTGGACTGAATGTTAACACTTGTTAATCATTTTCCTCATTACATCGAATTGAAATTTAAATGCTCGCTCGATATCTAATTTTCTTGAAATTGTCTTTGAATTTCCTACTTTTGCGTAACAAAATCCATTGAAATTCCCTATGAATTCAATCCTCTTCCCTATGCAAACAATTTTAACCTGAAATTCAAAACACTTCAGTTCCGTCAAGATATTTGATAATTGAGAGAATATTGAAATCTTTTTTGCAGGGAATTTAAAGAGCCAAAAAATCTTTGAATAAAACTTTCGCAATGTCTTTTAGATTTGCAGCTATTTCCCCAAAAATTAAAATTTACTCTGGAGTGAATTTGAAAAAATTTCTCATCAAATAAAACCCTCCCAAGTTCCATAAAAAAATGACTATCTCCTTGAAATCCCTTCTGAAAAATCGTAATTTTCAATTAATCAAAAAGATCAATTACAAAAAATAAAAATGAAAAACAATAAATTATCGATAATTACCTATGCTCTTCTTATTCCGGAGTGAATTTTGAATGCTCATCTAATTAAAACCACCAAGTTCCCTACAAAAATGTCTTTATCGATCTAATTACCCCGGAATTTCCTCTAGATTTCCTCCTTTTCCGTGACAAAATCCATTGAAATGTCCCACCAATTCGACCCTATTCCTCATAAGAACATTTTTTCCTGAAATTGAAAGCTAAATATCCCATCCCCGCAATCAATAATCCCCTTCAGCAATTAAATCATCTAATTACAATTCCCCCAAACGACCTTCTGCCTTCACTCCGATTCCCCCCCAATGCCGACTAGAATGGAGTTTCATGTTTCAATAGACAAAATATCAACTGGCAGAACTATTCAATTGCAGATGGTGCATCCAAAAAGTGACGAGCAGCGACAGAGGCTGAGCGAGAGTGTCAGGAATATTCTGCTATTCCGTGCACTCGATAAGGTAACAAAAAAGCTCTCACCTATTTTATCCAATAATTCGATATTTCGGTCGCATTGATCGTTACATAAACCCCGAATGCACGTTATTCTTTATTCCAGGAACAAATGACAGACGTTCTAGATGCAATGTTCGAGAAGAATGTTGAACCCGGTGACTTTATCATTCGCCAAGGCGACGACGGCGACAATTTCTATGTCATAGAGAGGTAAATAGATTTCCAGGGGAAAGTTTTCGCTTGGGGGACGGGGGGGCTCTGGAAATTCAGTTATCGATTTTCTGTTTTTAGGGGAAAGTTCGAGGTCTACGTCAAAGGTCCAACGGGGGCTGATACCCTCATTCACACGTATGATAATGGAGGTGCATTTGGGGAGCTTGCACTTCTGTACAACATGCCAAGGGCAGCTACCATCAAGGCGATCACCAAGGGAACACTCTGGGCCATGGATCGTCAGACATTCCGACGTATAATACTCAAGTCTGCGTATAACAAGCGAAAAATGTATGAGATTCTGCTTAATAAAGTTCCAATGCTCAAGTCACTTCAGGTGAGTTTACAGAATATTGATTGATTGATTTATTTATTTATTGAATGAATGACAGGGTTTATTGAGGATATCCAAACATCTTTTACATTTTAGTACCGACCACACTGTAGATTCAACCATTTTCAATCATCAAATTTGCCAAATAAATTGCGTGAGAATAATTTGACAACAATCATGAATATTCAGTCATTCCAATTACATTTTGTACAAAATTATCATTTTTTAAAACATTTTCTGTTTATAAATGAACAAAGAAATTATAATTGAAATTGTTTATAATTGAAAAAAATTCATTGTTTATAAATTATTTATAGAAAATGCTCGTAATAAAAAAAAATACAGTTTTCACTCCAATTTTTTTCAGTTTTTTAAAATGTTTTCAAACGGTTCAATATTTTTTTTTCTTTTTTTGGCTTTTCCGGGTTCATTACCGAAATTATCAGTTATTCATTCAATTCGCTGCATACGATATAAAAATTAATTCTAATGGGACAGAAACTTGTCTGTCTTTATGACCTTAATTTGATGTTACGAGATTCTATGGATTCGATTTAAAAATTGTTAGGTTTATAATGGAACCACTGAAACCCTATTTTTGTCGAAGGGTGGAGGAATTTCAGGATGACTGTAATTAGTCGACTTCATCGTTGCATATGGGATTACTTCATCAGGAGGGACATGATTAGGTTCCGAATCACAAATTCCACTAGAGTCGATTTTCTTTCAATTTCGTGGAATAATAAATTATCGTGTTAACGAGTTTTTTACGAGCAAACGACAAAAATAAATGACAAAAATTTCCAAGTTAAACGACAAGTGACGAGGTGTTGAATTAGATTATTTTTGTTTAACAGAAATACGAACGCATGAATCTCGCTGATGCACTCGTCTCGAAACCCTTCTCCGATGGTGAACAAATTATTCGGCAAGGGGACACAGCTGATGGAATGTACTTCGTTGAAGACGGAGTCGTCAGGATCACCAGGATTAATGATAATGGACGTGAAGTCGAGGTGAATATCCCAATTAATAATACTTTAGACTCGTTAAATATCGAATTCCCTCAACTGATTTTACAGAATTACATTTAAAGTAACATTTAAAGGGCATGAACATTCGAAAATGAAACAGAAACAAAGTGACAAAAAAATAAAATGTTAACGTTATGTTTGGAGTGTTAATTTCCCTTTGAAATTCACATTCAAAGGGAAATTAACAAAGCTTCTTAATTGAAAAGTCAAAATCAATTATATTTACGACTCTTTGAATGTTCAATTATCTCAGTGATGAATGATTCTTGGGAACATTGTCGAAGGAAATGTTTTTTCGAAATTCTTTAATTCTGAATTGAGAAACTGAAACACTAAATCAATTAATTTTCTCCAGATAAATCGCGTTCCCGCCGGTGGATACTTGGGAGAGCTCGCCCTAGTCACACACAAGCCACGAGCCGCCTCAGCATACGCCGTCGGAAATGTCAAATTAGCCTGTAAGTATCAGCCTCAAACAATCCAATTCCATGCACAATAGTCATGATTGTTATAATGTCAATCATAAAGTGATACTAATGGTAAATAGAAAGCATTTCATTCGTTATTTCCTGGCACAGTTGATACATCTGCACAATATTTGGCTTCTGATGACTATCCAGAGTGAATCACCAAAAATAAATGAAACTGTTGATTTATCATTAAATGAGCAATGTCAAATATGTTTGTTGTAAGACCATAAAAGATTCTATTAGTGTCATAAAGTCTAATCTCTCTCTTATTTTCAATTTATCGGAGAAGAAAGACAATTTCCTTTGAATAATATTGCTTTCAGCAATTAAAGTGTCTCGATGATTTCTTTATTACGAAGGAATTATCCTAGTACTTAATTTACAGAATTTAACTCAAGAATGAGGTGATTATATTCGTCCAGAGGAATTACTGAAATAATCGGTGGAAGTGAATATTTTTCATTATTAAAATTCATTAATAATCACGCGCACATGTCGCTTTGCGCCATCAATAGATAATCGTTGCGTGCATTTAAATCAGCTGAAACAGATGAAAGAGATGTTCTCTTTGTTTGTCCAATTCCATCGGTTAATCGAAGCCTGAGATAATCTCGTAATTTCGTTCTGATTGATGAAAAAGGTGTGAATTAATAGATCAACTGTCCATTATCAACTATTCATTATTAAAATGAATTAATAATCAGCTGAAATAGATGAAAACAATTTTTTTATCGAACTCCATCGTTTAATTAACTCCTGAGATGATCTCCTTAGATTTAAAAATATCAAATTACCTCGTATGAGCCTCAACCAATCGATTCCCCCAAATCGATACCTAACGAGTCATTTAAACCCCCAGTTTTGGACGTCGAGGCATTCGAGCGTCTGCTCGGTCCCTGCATGGAGCTAATGAAGCGCAATATCGAGGACTACGAGGATCAGCTGGTGAAAATATTCGGCAGCAAAACCGATATCTCCGACATTCGATGAATGTAATTCCCTACCCAAGAGTCTTCATTGCCGCTCTACGGTAATAACAACAAAAAAAACGGTATAGTGACATCATAATATTAAGCACAAAAGTCTATATCACCCGCTTATTGATTTAAAATGTGAAAAGAGCCTCATGAAGATTTTCTTTATTTGAAGAAACCAAATGTCCAAGCGATTTCAGAGCCAAAAAAATCCATAGAATGGGTCGATGAGTGATTGTTACGCATAGCACACCATTCACACGTACCCTGAATGCTAAAATAATGGGACAATGACAGTACAATCACATCCATAGCTACGTGAAAGCGCACCATCGAAAACTTTCAGCTTGAAAAATAACGATGAATTAAAGAGAAAACTTCCTAAGACTGTAAATCAGTTGGAAAGTATTACAGTTCCACGAATTTATTTAATTATGTAGTGAGAATTTTTAGTTAAATCCTAGTATTTTCGATCGAAGGGGGAGAGGAATGTCGAGGGAATAATGAAAATTGTCCTCATTGGTTTCAAGAGCGAGGGAGATAGACGAAGAAATGAACAATTATTGAGAGAGTAATTATCATTGAATTGAATTACCCATACCTCTACTCGTTGTTACGTTGGTACAATCATCATTACTGAGCTTCATAAGTAATTAAAAGATATCTAACGTTAAATATTAATGGAAAGATAACATCTCAGCAATAGTGGAATTAATGTTTTGTGTGATGTATATAAATTAAGAGTGATTATTTATTTAATTGTGGATTTGAAGTCATCGGAATTAACATTTGAGAATTATCGGTGGGCACTAATCATCAGTGAAATTGTGAATGTAGCGAGGGAATTTCAAGCATTTTAAATGTGAAAATTTAATTCATTGAAAATAATTCGTGAATGGACAATTTAACTCGTTAAATTTTACCAATTCACTGGTGAATTATTCATCACCGCAGGATGTTGATGTGTTTCCCTAGGTGAATAGTCAACTTATTTAGAAAAATCATCAGATAATAAATCATCCCTTCAGCCAATGTTCTTCCCAATCCATCAAATTTTTCATCTTAAAAATTCCACTCATAAATAGCAAACACATTTGTCTCAGCAAGTGCATGCATAATCCTCCGCGTTAATTTTCCAAGACACAACGGGCTCTGTACATAGCATCCTGCTGATAATTTATCATAGCCTTAACGTATGCATTGTGTTGAACAACTCCCAAGTCCTGAAAGTATTCCCCTGTTATCAATAAATGAAGTGAAAAATTTTAACGATTCGAGATCTATTTATATAATATAATTACTAGTATTACCGTGCTGTCTTGATTGCAATTTCAACTGGTGTTTCAATCACACGATTTCGTTTGCATTTCCAGTCATCAATGGCGATGAGCCATTCATAAATTATCGCCTTCACGAATTTCCAAACGTACTATTTCGATTATGTTAATATCAGAAAATCCAAAGTTACATTACGTAAGAACCAATAATCATTGTGGAGAGCATAGAAAATTTAAAAAAGATAACTAAAAGCGCGAGTTGTATAAAAACTCGCGCATATGTGTCATTGTAGTGAGTATTTTCTAAACGTGAAAAGAAAAAACTAAAAAAAATGAGGTGAAATATTGAAGGAGATATGTGTGCAGGGCAGATGTACAAGGACAAATGGACACCTTATTTTCACGGAAGCCAAAAAATAAAACTTATGCATAATATCAGTAACAATAGTCATAATAGTTATAATGTTAATCATGAAGTAATGGTAATGGTAAATAGAAAGCATTTCATTCGTTATTTTCTGGAATAGTTGATACATCTGCACAATATTTGGCTTCTGATGACTATCCAGAGTGAATCACCAAAAATAAATGAAACTGTTGATTTATCATTAAATGAGCAATGTCAAATATGTTTGTTGTAAGACCATAAAAGATTCTATTAGTGTCAAAAAGTCTAATCTCTCTCTTATTTTCAATTTATCGGAGATGAAAGACAATTTCCATTGAATAATGTTGCTTTCAGCAATTAAAGTGTCTCGATGATTTCTTTATTATGAAGGAATTATCCTAGTACTTAATTTATTGAATATAACTCAAGAATGAGGTGATTATATTCGTCCAAAGGAATTACTGAAATAATCGGTGGAAGTGAATATTTTTCATTATTAAAATTCATTAATAATCACGCGCACATGTCGCTTTGCGCCATCAATAGATGATCGTTACGTGTATTTAAATCAGCTGAAATAGATGAAAGAAATGTTCTCTTTGTTTGTGCAAACTCTATCGTTTAATCAAAGCCTGAGATAATCTCGTCATTTTGTTCTGATTGATGAAAGAAAAATGTGAATTAATAGATCAACAAAAATTTATAATGAAACAAAGCTATCGGTGCAGCTGGCCTGCCTCCAAGCTTTGGAAATTTCATATCAATCGAGAATATCCAAAAATTATAAACATAAAGTGAAGGAATTTACGTTGGATAACACCAGTGGAGGGTTGCATTGCAGTTGGATACTGTTAATTGATAATTTAATTCTAGTCCTTAAGTTGTTCGTTATTATTAAAGAATACTTGATTATCTGTGAAACACGAAGAGAATAATTGAAATATGTAATAGAGATGGAGGAATTATGTAATGGCCAATTACTGATTAATATTGTATGGCTGGCGCTACTCGGATATGCTACTCACGGCTTTATCAACACCCTCTGATGTTGTCGGATAATTAATGACATTCATTTGGCCATGACAAATGTTTGGGAGGATGATAGTTTATTGGTCGTGATTCTTTGGTGAATTGGACTGAGCTTGGGGTGTTATTCGAGAAGCGAGGCGAGATTAATCATAAGTACATGAAATAAAAAACTAGATAGTGTAATCAAAGTTGACATATAATAAATGAATGGACCTGAAACTAACGGAAAATTATTTATTTTTACTCTCATTCACTAATACTGGGACCGTGACTTCAAAAATAAGAATTAATAGAAGAGAAAATTTCATAAGACTGTAAATTAATTGGAAAGTATCACAGTTCTACGAATTTATTTAATTATGTAGCGAGAATTTGGAGTTGAATCCTAGTATTTTCGATCGAAGGGGAAAAGAATGTCGAGGGAATAATGAAAATTGTCCTTATTGGTTTCAAGAGCGAGGGAGATAGATGAAGAAATGAACACTTATTGAGAGAGTAATTATGATTGAATTGAATTATCCGTACCTCTACTCGTTACGTTGGTACAATCATCATTGCTGAGTTTCATAAGTAATTGAAAGATGTCTAACGTTAAATATTAATGGAAAGATGACATCTCAGCAATGGTGGAATTAATGTTTTGTGTGATGTATATAAATTAAGAGGGATTATTTATTTAATTGTGGATTTGAAGTCATCGGAATTAACATTTGAGAATTATCGGTGGGCACTAATCATCAGTGAAATTGTGAATGTAACGAGGGAATTTCGAGCATTTTAAATGGGAAAATTTAATTCATTGAAAATAATTCATGAATGGACAATTTCACTCGTTAAATTTCACCAATTCACTGGTGAATTACTCATCGCCGCAGGATGTCGATGTTTTCCCTGAGTGAACACTCGACTCAGCCAGAAAAATCATTAGTCTAGTAATCTGAAGGTTGTGAGTGCAAATCCCCCCTGGGGTCAGCCCCAAAACTACACTAAACTATATTGACAGGTCGTCATATTTATTTTGACAACTCAATAACAAGACTGTACAGTGCTTCATTGAGACGTTTTTATTTCGCTTGAGACATTCTTCTTCACATAAATCTGATTGTAAAATGCTAGAGTCAGGAGTAGAACCGAGTGCATCTGCTCGCGGGTGGCAATCTCCTGGGAATTGTATTTCGCAACGATATTGGGATCGATAACTATCGGGGGCAGATGAGGCAGGTACATCACTTCCCGATCAGAAATTATTCTCGAGATGACGCCCTTCGCAGAGACTGTCTCACTTCCCACAATGAGATTGAATAGTTTCCCTGGGGATCGGGCCTGCATCAAATAAAAATTTGGGGAATTTTCTCCTCGATCTGAAACAAAACAGCACAAAATTTTGTAAAAATAATTCAAAACTCAATCAAATCGTAATTAATCGCTACCAATTTAACCAAATGGCAATTAATTTCTCCGAATTTAATGAAATCGTATTTAATTATAATATTTAATTTCATTTAATTAAAGCGACAGAATCAAAGAGTAAGGGGAATACCACTTGTTATACATTCTCTCATCCTAATCCCACTCATGATCATCGCGATAATCTGTTGTCGTTGCAGATGAACGAAGTAGGCAGACGATTTCAATTTCCCCAGAGCTGAGTAACTATCTGCCTCCATCACGTAGGCATCAGCATATGGCAGGCGCAGAGTCATGTCTTTTATTAAGTCTACTAACGATACAATATTCATTTTCGATAGATTATCGAACTTTTCCAACTCCCAGTGATTGATCTGGCCATCGGACTCTAGTAGAGACCAACTGACTGCATTTCCCCAGACGTGGAGGCCCAAAATGCTTTTAATCGCCTAATGAAACGTGAGGAATGTTCATTCAACAGTTCAAATTTTCAGTAAAAAATAATTATTATAAATGTCTTGTTGAGATTTTACAGAAGTTTTTATAGAGAAATTTTTTTCTGCAGGTAATGTTATCCCATGAAATTCTTCTTTTATCTCCATTTGAAAAATTTTAAAAATTATTTTAAAAAATGACAAAAAATCGACAGTTTAATAGAACGAAAAATTAATTCGACAGGAAAAATTCTTATAAACCTTCGTAGGAATTATAGTAATTATAAACGTCCCCTTGAGATTTAATAGAAATTTTCTAGAGAAAAAGAGTTTAGAAAAAATAAAATTAGAAGAAATGTAAAAAGCCAATTCTCTATAAATTTCTTCTCTCACCTTCATTTGCAGAATTGAAAAAATTACTGAAAAAAATTCTAAAAATTCAACAGTTTAATAGAACAACAGATTAATTCAACAGCAAAAATTCTTGTAAACATCTCCTTGAGATTGAATAGAATATCTTCTCCAGAAAAATATTTCCCTAGAAAACGATTCCACGAAATCCTTCGTTAAAAAATAAAAATAAGAACTGTAAAAAAAGAGAATTTTTCACATTTCTTCTTTCATCTTCACTAAAAAAAACAATGAAAATTCTTACGAATCGAGTGACATCAGTGATCGCAGGAGTGACAATACTCTTCGATGAAGAATTCCCCTTAGCACTTTTAACTTTCTTCCCTCCCAGCAGTATCGACCTACAAAATTTGATCAGCGACGCTACATCCTGGGTAATGAGGACGTCATTAAAATCCTGAAACCCCCCATTCTTCGTTCTCAGAGCCAACAGCCTCTTCAATTGTCCCTCCTTTATATCGTACCTCGCGAAGTCACTGGCTTCGCATTTATTTATCGTGTCTAATATTGCAGCCTCTTCCTCTTCGGTGAATGTCGATGAGTTTTTGCGCGGTGAGTATCTCCTCACCGCAGCGGAGAATTTAAATTTGCTGATGATAACATGAGAATGGTATGTCTGAAGAACAAAAAAATTTCTGAACCAGTCATTGCATTGTATTGTTCAAAGAGGAAGGCAACAATTTCGTTGTTCATGTGGGAAGAGTGAAGTTAAAAGTGATTTACCTCTCGGAGATGACGAAATAAGACACTAGATTCTGTCAACCACATTGTTTAACAATAATAACAATAATTTATTCCTCAATAGTAATATTCAATTTTTTTTATCATGTTGAGTTCACTAGTAATTGTCATGTCTGCATTGAACTCAATCATCAATTCACTTTGCAAAATGGAGCACACAACAATCCGCGTATAGTCACATGCATCAACATGCATGTCGGTGGCATGTGAACTTAACCTTACGAACACGTGCGATATATCTGTTGAGGGGCGGGGGAGGGGGGGTCGTTTTTAACAATCTCAGATGGACACGGAATTTGTGGACCCATTCCCGGATGAGCAAATTCTCATAAAGTGGTCAAAAAGGCGTGGGTACTGGAGATATCTTCATGAAGAACATTTCCTGCAGGAAATGTCTTACCAGGCGACATGTTTAGTGCAGCGGCACGGTGGAAGATGGCGGGATTATCCTCATTTCAAGCGGAATTACTGACGGAAGCGAACTAACTATCAGTATCCTATTAGCCGACAAAAAACTATTGTTAAACGAATGACCGTTTATAGCAAAAATTATATACCGACCGTAAATTTAAATAATTAAAATTATATTATGACCGTTTATAGCTAAAATTATATACCGAATATAGCTAAAAAAAGTTGATGATCATTATCTATAATTAGAAAAAAAGTTCACATGTAGATTTAAATCTGTCCCCATTTTTCCTAGAGAACTTGTCCAAAACAGAATGTGTCCATCTGAAATTGTTCAAAAGACCTCCCCACCCCATGAGTAAGCGGGAAAATCCTTGCGCAACATCTTTGCGCACATCAAAAATGGCTAACAAATCCTGAGGCTTTGCCGTTCGTCTCCGGATTTTATTCGAAAATCAAGGGTAAAATCGTTGAAATAATTCTTAAAAATGTTATAATTAGTTGACAACAATGGAGAACAATAGTTTGGTCATGAAATCAACGATTATTCTGATGAATTGCGGGTGTTGGAACGTAAAAACAAAAATTGCCAGGAGAGAATGAGAAAAATCTCTGCGCAACATCTCTGCGCACAACAAAAATGGCCGACTAGTCTCGAGGCTTCGGCGTTCGTCTCCGGATTTTATCCGAAATCAAAAGTAAAATCATTAAAATAATTCTTAAAAATGCTATAATTAGTTGACAACAATGGACAACAATAGTTTGGTCATGAAATCAACGATTATTCTGATGAATTGGGGGTGTTGGAACGTAAAAACAAAAATTGCCAGGAGAGAATGAGAAAAATCTCTGCGCAACATCTCTGCGCACAACAAAAATGGCCGACTAGTCTCGAGGCTTCGGCGTTCGTCTCCGGATTTTATCCGAAATCAAAAGTAAAATCATTAAAATAATTCTTAAAAATGTTATAATTAGTTGACAACAATGGACAACAATAGTTTGGTCATGAAATCAACGATTATTCTGATGAATTGCGGGTGTTGGAACGTAAAAACAAAAATTGCCAGGAGGGAATGGGAAAAATCTCTGCGCAACATCTCTGCGCACAACAAAAATGGCCGACTAGTCTCGAGGCTTCGGCGTTCGTCTCCGGATTTTATCCGAAATCAAGGGTAAAATCATTAAAATAATACTTAAAAAAGCTGTAATTAGTTTATAATAATGGAGAACAATAATTTGATCATCAAATCAACGATTATTTTGATGAATTGCGGGTTTTAAAACGTAAAAACAAATACACATGAGAAAACAATAAAAACGTCTGCGCAGCTGAAAAGTGGCTGCCCTGATGTTCCTTGGCGATGACCGCAGTATTGTTGAAGAAATTACTCGTAAAATCGCCGAAAGTAATTGACAATCTGATAATAAATTAATTAATAATAATAATGAACAGTCACAATGGAACAAGGCAATGGTTGCATAGTTCGATAAATTACGAAACTTAAAACGACATGAACGTCTCGAATGGTGAAAATTTGGAATCTCCATGTGACCGACGTATTGGTGACACCACGAGATGACGCCTAGAGGCAATTCTGGACGAATCCAGTGTTTGTGGACAGTTTTGATAGATACAATGACTCTTTAAAAAATTCAAAACGTGATAAACCTAGTTGATAAGTGAAACCAGTGGACACAGGAATTTATTAGAATGTTAGTGTTGTGAATTGTAATGATGTTTTCTTTTGTTAATCAAGTGATAAAGTGCTCTCGGGAATTTCTTCGTCGATGTGTGTATAAATACGTAAGATGGCAGGTTCAGTCATGTTAGTGCGGTTTTTAATTTCGAAAGTGTTTAGTGCAAGTGATTTTCACGGGGACGAGCTTCTGGAGGCATTGGAGAGAATATCGACGTCTAGATGAGGATTTCAACGCCCGGTGAGTCAATAAATTTACAATTGAAAGTTGACATTTTTCAACCGTCAATATCTCGAGAATGACTGGCGCGATTTCAACAAATTTTATTTCATTTCATGAAAGCACTGAAATGATTCTATTTTTTAATTTTCGAATTTTGCTTGGAAATGATGTAAAATGGTCTAAAACGTAAAAATCCAAAGTTTTAAGGCCATGCGTGTATGAGCGACTGTCCACCTCTGGTAGTCAACTGTTAGAAAATCGAAGAATTAAAGGAGAAACTGATTTCAAAATTTTTCAAATTTTGTCAGGATATAGGTATGAATAAGGATTCTGTCGTAAGGTGCTGCCCAATCGGGCCAGCTGTTTTTGAGAAATCTCCATTCGTTTCTAAATACTTCTTTGCAAATTTTTCGAAAACTGTCTAACCGATTTCAATAATTTTTTTTTCAAAATATTCGTCTCAATGTCCTCTATTTTAATCGATCAAGATATACATACCCGTTCAGGCAAAATTTCCAAGATATCGTAATTGTTCGGTTTTTCGCTCAAAATGCTTGTGCGTACTCTAACTTTTGGAAAAATCGACATATTAACTTCTAATTAGGCATATTTCCGGTTTTCATTAGAGCAGTAAATTTCTATAGTCAACTTGACGGGACGAGAAGGGGCCCGCTTAACAATGAAGAAGAACAATGATCGGACTCGTTTATGAATGTTATTACGAAGTAAAGGCGTCATATGCCATTTGGGTTCCCTATAGGCCGATACAAGGCTCAGAATTGCGTTTTTCCTTCTCCTACAGCCTATAACATATGCATTAAATTAATTTTTTTTGCGATTTCGTTTTTCGCGATTATCTCGGAAACTATGAGAAATAGAGCCTTAAAACCTATTCCATTCGATTCCTGAGGAAATTTGGGTTCCTCAGGGAACTCGAATAGAAATTGGAATAGGTTTCAAGGCTCTATTCCATAGTTTCCGAGATAATCGCGAAAAACGAAATCGCCACAAAAAATTATTTTAATTTATTTTGTATAGGCTATAGGAAGAGAAAAAACGCAATTCTGAGCCGTCCATCTGTCTACAGGGAACCCAAATTTCCTCAGGAATCGAATGGAATAGGTTTTAAGGCTCTATCTCTCATAGTTTCCGAGATAATCGCGAAAAACGAAAGTGCCAAAAAAAATTAATGTAATTCACCTTGTATAGGGTGTAGGAGCTGGAAAAATGCAATAATGAGGCGTCCACCTTCCTATAGGGAACCCAAATTTGGTTTTAAGGCTCT